GGGGGGGTGGGGGGGGGGGGGCAGGGTGGAGTTTGGTGACCCTGAAGAGTCTGCCCTGGGGGGGTGACGTTTTAAGAGTTAAGGGTGGTGTTGGGGTGGTCAGTGCCCAGGACGGAGAGGGAGTAACTTCTTGTAGTCCTGCCGGTTGTTGCCTTCTTTCTCCTAGGAGCATCTCCAATTACTTTCTACACTGAATATGCACATTAGACACCAGTGAAGCCTCCACCTTAGTGATTTATTGTTTTAAATTGACATTTTTCACCACATGAAACTAAGTGATCAGTCATAATTATTCAAATGTGCAGTGCCTTTAGCAGCCGGTGGCTCATCGTGATCAGCAGCAGCATTCTGTTTTCTAACCGTGGATGTCCTTTTGTTGTATTTAAAGAACAACAACTTTCATAGCATAAGAAGAAGGAGGCGAGGTTAACCACCCCCCTCCTCACTCAGTCTTGCACTACACCAGCTCATTAGTTTTGGTTTCCCTCCAAAATCTCCATCCCTGTTGTAAAACGTCTCCCCTGCCACTTATATGAGCTGCACAGCAGCTGCATCCCTCCATCCTCACCCAGTGTGAGGGTTTAGGGAAGCGGGGGTGTTTCAGCCAGTCAGCTGTTAACCCCCCAGGGTGTGAAGGATTTTTGTAATAACACAGCATGTTTTTAAAAACAAACTCGCTCTCTTCGTTTGGTTAAACTTTTCATTTAAGTTCTCAGTTTGAAGACAAAACAAAAATCAAGACTACAGAGCAGGTTCTGCCTAAACTCAAGAGAAGAATGGGACCAGAACCAGATTCAAGCAGATGTTAAGACATTTTCTTCACAACTTATCACAAAGACAGAAAATGCGATTTCCATAGACATATTAACCGCAGCTTCAACATACAGAACAATTATGTGTCTCACAGGTCCTAAATTGGAAACTTAAATGAAACAAACCTCCAAATCCTTTAAAAAATACAAAAAATATAAATAAATAAATAAATAAGGCAAAAAGTATCAAAAATGTATTAAAAGTTTTTTTCAAAAACTGCATTTTTATTTAGAAGATATCAAACCTTTAAAGCTGTGTCATCTCCATCCTCCTTGGTGACCTTTCACATTTAGGTGTCTCGGTCTTTTCCCTCTGACTTTATGTCTCCGGGGTTCCATCGGCAAGACCCCATTCAGCTTTTAACACATGAAACCAATTTTAGCAGCCATTGGTTAGAAGTTAAAAAAGGACAAATATTCCATAAATAGTTAACTAACTGTGTTACAGGAAAAAGTCCAAGGCAACCTGAAACCTCTGACAGAGAAGAAGAAGAAGAAGAAGAAGAAGAAGAAGAAGAAGAAGAAGAAGAAGAAGGAGAAGAAGAAGAAGAAGAAGAAGAAGAAGAAGAAGAAGAAGAAGAAAAGAAGAAGAAGAAGAAAATATCATTTCTATAGCACCTCTCAAGATAAAAATCACGCTTCACAAAAACAAAAAATGTAAAAATATTTTTAAAAAATTTAGAAAATTATTAAAAATATATTTAAAATGAGCAAAAAATAGACAATTGTGATAACAATTTTAAAGAAAGAGAGAGAGTGAATACGAAAGAAGAAGATCAGTGGATCCTGAGGAAGGTGGAATAGGTGGGGAGAGCAGAATAAAGAGAGTGGTGAAGGTCACACCAAAGCCAGCCTGAACAGGTGAGTTTCCAGCTGCTTTTTAAAGGAGACCACTGAGTCCACTGATCTCAGGCTCAGGGGGAGAGAGTTCCAGAGTCTGGGGGCCACAGCAGCAAATGATCTGTCACCTTTGGTCGTTAGCCTGGTGCGCTGCACAACCAGTAGGCTTTGGTCACTGGACCTCAGGGACCTGCTGGGGTTTAGGGGCTGAGAAGATCACCAATGTATGATGGTGCTTGTCCATGTAAGGCCCTATAGACCAGAACCAGGATCTTGACCCTGAAGTTGACTGGCAGCCAGTGAAGCTGGAGGAGAAGCGGGGTGATGTGGGTGTGTTTGGAGGACTTGGTCAGAAGTAGAGCACAGGCATTCTGAACCACCTGTAGGGACTAAGAAGATCATGAAACAGAGAATATTGTTACAGATTACAGGAGCATGGGTTTCCTGCAGCAGCAGGTTGGAGGGGTGATTAGAGCGTGCACTGATGTTTGGTCATGTATGTGCACAGGCCAGCCTCTGGGCTCTTTATTTCACTTCTTATTCCTGCATTTATCAGCTTTGCAGGTGGAAGTTTTCTTCTTCCTCTTTAGAGAATGTCTGATTCAAATCCACTCAAAACAGCATTTTTTAAATCTCTCAGACTTTCCCGTTTTCAAAATGAGCAAATCCATCAGACAAAAAGCCACCGCGGTGGAGAGTTCCTGCTTTTGACTTCCTCATTTGAACCAGAGGTTTGAAGAAGAGTGTGTTCTCTTATTCTGACTTGGCACTAAACAGTGAAATACGCTGCCAAAAGAAAAAAAAAAAACAACTACACTGGCAGAAAGAAAGACAAGGCTCCATCAGGAAGTGGCAGCTTTTTAGCCCTGCCAACGGAGTCAAGAAACTTCCTAGCCTGGTTGCCTTGGTTACTGGAAGCTCAGCCAGCTGGTGCAGCCGTTGGGTTTGATAGAGGACAGAGGAGGATGGCGGTTGTGATGGTGGACAGGAGGAGTCCAGCATTTAAATGTAAGCAGTTGGTAAAAACGTTTAAAAATGAAACTTACCCCAAACAACCCCAATCTCTTCTTTTTGCACATCTCTCTGAAGAGAAAAACAGCTGAAGAATGATTCTGAAACACTTTTCTAATCACTTTTACTAATTCTAATCCTTCGATCATTCTTTATTTGTTGTTTTTAGCGGTTGAAGATTACAATAATAGCTTTCTTCCTCCTCTCCAAGCGTATGTGCTGCTGTAACGAGTGATTTTCCCTACTGGGATTAATAAAGTCTATTCTGTTCTAATAAAAAGTTCCTCCAATGTTGCGGAACATAAACTTTCAGTCCACTATTTGAATTCTTCGATCCATACATTTTCAGGAAAGTGCAGCATCTTGTGTTTCTGATCACTAATGAAACACAAAACAATTGAACTAAACCAAATGAAAAACATGCCAGAGATGTGCAAGCATCCCAAAGAGTCCTCTGCTAAGGTGATAATTTGCATGAAACAATTTTCCCATCATCCTTAAAAGGACTGTTTATCCTAGCAGCTTAATATGTGTTTTATATTGCACCCACCCTATAGATGCCACAGAAGGCTTTAGCATTCCTCAGACTTACAGATTAGTTGAGCTGGTGGGTGTTCTGGAGGATCAACACACCAAGCTGGTGGAGATCGGTAAACACAGCTGGGGACACTCACTGCTGCTAGGTCTGCAGCTCAGTTGGACCCCCCCTCTTTAACACATCTATATGTGTGTTTGCTCTGGGGATGTGTCCTAATCTTCACACAGGCTGGGATGAAAGTGACCCTGTCCAAAATCATTGTCTTGCTAGTTTCTCTGTTGCTAAACTTGAAAGATCTTAGTTATAAAGGTCGTCTGTAGGTCTCCCTGTGGGTGGGATGTCTCTGAGATACTTTATGATAAAGTCTTGAACATTACCCAACCCCTCCCTGAAGATGTCATCCACGACTGAACAAAGTGATGACCTGTTTCTAACAGACTTCTACTACTTTGGCAAAGGGTTAGAGGTGCGTTTGTGAATATTAGGACCAATCTTAATATTTTGATTTAATTATTCAAAAGTTTACATCACTGAAGCCTCAAAAGATCTTGGCATCCATGAAATAAGTTAATAGAGACCTGTTGTCCTTCTCTGCTGTTGCAGGTCTCTACACAGTTAGACGTTTTCAATTTTGATGTTCAAGTAATTTTGCAGCACAGAGCGCCCTCTGCTGGTGAAGCTTCAGATCAAAGTAGGACAAGCCGTGATTAAAAAAAAAGTAATTTGTGTGTGTGTGTGTGTGTGTGTGTGTGTGTGTGTGTGTGTGTGTGTGTGTGTGTGTGTGTGTGTGTGTGTGTGTGTGTGTGTGTGTGTGTGTGTGTGTGCTTTGCTTTGCTTTATGGTATTATAAGATAATAAAAATTTTAATTTGACACACAGACTCTAATTTAAATAAAGTTTAAGTTAAACTTTGAAATCCACAAAGAGAATGTTGGCTTCGACTTAAATATGTAAACAAAACAAAAAAACAAGTCTACCAAAATAACAGCAGCAAACAAAGATCCTGGATATCATTTCATAACAAGAATATGTGAGTCTGTTTGATCATTCATCATTGATCAACATGCCAGGAGAATCCTGAAAGGAATGTTGATAAATGATCCACGTTTTAACAGATTTGTACAAAGTTGCCATCAAAGGGTATATGAATGTAATCCACATTTTATTTTGGTAGGATTATTGCATTTTCTGACACTCTGACATAGCATCCTACCTGAATATGAATTTGAAACCACTGCATTAGGATTTGTACATAACTATTTGATTTAATGCTAAATTAGTAAATAAAGATAATTAAAAAATATAAAAAGATGTTCAGTACAACAGTAGATGCACACGTTTTTTTACCTTTATTGTCAATTAATAGTTGACCTCAAAACCTATTATGTATGAATATGTAAAATGTGTTTTGGAATTACTAATACTTTTGAATAGCTTGAATCTATGTCTACATGTGATAAAAAATAATGACTAAATAACTCACATGCCATCTTAATAAATTTGTCTAAATGTTACGTATTAACACGTAAATGTACAAAAATAAATGATACTTAAAAATGGTGTTTAAATAGCTACAAAATAATAATTAAGACAATTATTTAATAAAATAAAGTATACTCAAAATACTAAACGTTATTTACTGCATTTCACAAACAAATGAAATTGTTGGTAAGTCTTTCTATACATAAAACATTTTTTGTTTTATTCTAAATGAAAGATTAGGAGGTAATAACTGATACATAGTTTCAGTTATTTGCTTTTTATTTCATCGCACTAATTGTGTCCTTTCGGCTTCCGTTGGAGTAACGTAAAAAAGCCCTTTACGTCAGCATAACAACAACTTGTCATGAGAGCTCGTACGGGGAAAATCAATACTTAAAGACTGTATATCAAAATAAATGAAGTCACAATCATCTGGATGTAAGATTTATCATTAAAGGTAAGAGTTGGAAACGGTAGGCTTTAACAACGAACTCAGTTTAAACCAGAAACAGGGGAGGCTTTGGGCTAACAGGCTAATTTTAGCATTAGCTAAAGATTTTTTTACTTATCGCTTAGCCGGGTCTTGGTGTACTATATTATTAACGACAGTGTCCGGCTGAGAATAGTTTGGGATCAAACGTGGCATTTATTGTTCATTTGATGAATTCAGTGAGTTTAACTAGAGCTGAATGAGCGGAATCCTTTAGCAACCCCCGGTGAAAACCGACCACGTAGCCTAGCTTACTAGGCATAGCAGCGATCTCTGGTCTCACTAAAGTTGTGAATTTTTTCGTCTGAGAACATTTTCTTCCACAGCAGCTAGCCTCCAACTGTTCCTGCGCAAGCGAGTGATCTGTTTGGAGGTGTCGGTCGTCACCTTTCGGCTACCTCTGGTGTAAAGTTACCCTGACTTAATACTCAAAGCGGTGCTCATTGCAGATTGCAGCCCACGCCGATGTCCGTCATATGAATAGTTAATTCAGTCTAGGCACCTAGCTGTGTTTTTCAGCGGCAGTGCGCGCAGTCAGCAAATCAAACCTTTTGGGTGGCATCGAGCAGCATTGCACCTAAAAGACGCGCATTGCAGCTGCAGTGCAGTAAACCCTGTGGTGTCTGCTCTGTAGAGCGCGATCCAGGACGGACTGGTCATTTTGAACTCTGACGTCTGGCCAGCCGAAGAGACGGGGAACAGGATTGGGAAGCAGGGCGAGGCGGGCCCCGCGGAGCCGGTGGAGAAGATGGCCGGCAGCCCGGAGAAGAGTTCCACCGCGCAGGAGTTGAAGGAGCAGGGGAACAGGCTGTTCCTCTGCCGCAAGTACCAGGAGGCTGCAACCTGCTACAGCAAAGCTATTGTGAGTGGCACTAAGGATGTCTGAGTCTTAAGTCATCTAAGCTGGAAGAATACAAATGTTTCTGATTACAGATAATTCATTAACACACTTTCTGGTTTATTTTGTCCCACAGAACCGTAATCCATCAGTGGCTGTATACTACACCAACAGGGCCCTCTGCCATGTAAAGCTGCAGCAGTATGACAAGGCTCTGGCTGACTGCAAGCATGCTCTGGAGCTGGACAGCCAGTCCGTTAAGGCACACTTCTTCCTGGGTCAGTGTCACCTGGAGCTGGAGAACTACGACGAGGCTATTGGAAACCTGCAGAAAGGTTTGAGGAAGTCCTTAAAGAGGATGTAAACATGGCTGAGTTTTGCGTCATTTGGGGGGAAAAGTTCGTCTCACAAGTTCCTTCATTTTTCTTTCATAATTCCTTTTAGATTGAAGTTTTTGTATTGTCATCCTTTTATGTAGTTGTTTTCTCGTCCCCATTGTCTTCAGCAATCTTTAAAAGTTCTATTCCATGTCTACATCAATGTTGTGTAGATAAATTAATGACTTGTTGTGTAACATTTCAGAAAAGTCCGTTTTTTTCACAGTTCAACATGACCCTTAAATGTTGTAATACAATCTCCAGTAATTTCTGCCTATTTTAAATACCAGAAAGCTGATGTTTAAGTGCTGCTGGCTGACAGACTCACACTGTTCAGTCCGTGTGTTTTACTCATTTATATCTTTGAATGTTGCTGACAAGTCTCCAGACAAGTTCTTCAAACAAGCAGATCACACAGAGCATTAAACCCAATGTGCAACAGTTATTTGTTTTTTTTTACTAAAGCAGCGGAGTCCAATCCTGGTTCTGGAGTGCCGGTATCCAGCACGTTTTAGCTGTGTCCCTGCTCCAACACACTTAATCAGCAGCTCATCAAGGTCTTCAGAAGCCTGTTAATCACCTGCTGAGTGAAATCAGATGTGTTGGAGCAGGGAAACAACTAAAACATGCTGGATACCGGCTGACTTCAAAACTCATGGATAAGTCTAAAACCATAACACAACACGAGGGTCAGATTTATGCTTTCTATTATAAATGTATAGTTTACAGGCCAAACCAGAGCAATCAGAGGCTGGTTACCTGGTGGGTGCTGATGGACTGAGTCAGTGTCTCCAGTCTGCGTCATAATGATAGAGAAAGCTTGGTCATGTGTAGCTGCAGGTGCAAAATCTCTATCTTCTAACTACAACCTAACCTACCATTTCAGAGCGTTGGGAAATTGTTAAGCAGCCACAGCACCAGCTCTTCTGCAGCAGCATGGAATTGATAGAAAATTGATTTAAAGACTGTTTAGATGTTCTTTTTGACCGTTTTCCAAACTTCCAAGTTTTAACTAATGTGACTTATTTATTTGTTTATAGCGTATAACCTGGCAAAAGAGCAGAGGCTGAACTTTGGAGACGACATCCCCAGTGCGTTACGCATCGCCAAGAAAAAACGTTGGAACAGCATCGAGGAGAAGCGCATCAACCAGGAGAACGAGCTGCACGCCTACCTGACCAAACTCATCCTGGCTGAGAAGGAGAGGTCAGATGGGATTTTTCTGAAATACATTCTGGCACGCTGTGCTCCAGGTGGTTTAGATTTAGTGATATAACGTGGCGTTTACTATTTTTCATAGAGAACTTGAAGAATACAGAGAAAAACAGGATGACAATCAAAGCGGAGGAGATGCAGCAAAGATTTCATCAAAACACGTTGGGTTTTGCCCTGATTTTCACACTTTTTACTGACCAAAATATGCGTTGATGTTAATTTTGGGACATTTTCATTACATGTAAACGTGACCTGCTAAGGACAAGTATTTAATGGACATGGACGAGCTGTTCTCCCAAGTGGACGAGAAAAGAAAAGTGAGTTGACAAGTTGTTAATTTTTTGTTGTTTATTTCATTTAATTCATATTTAAATACTTTAAATAATCTAACAGAGAAACAGTGTGTGTCTCCCCCCCCCCCCCTCCCCCATTTTTGTAGTTGGCATAAGAGCAGCAAATATACTTGATTCTTCAGATCTGACTTGAGATCTGTTTTATTTAAGTCTATCTTTTGCGGTTATTTTATTTTTATACAACCTCAGTAACTTCACTGACAGATGAGATCGCATGAAATAAGATGGTTGTTTTAATTTTAGCGCAAGCTGTTTCTATGACGACTGTTACTTGCTGTTTGCCAAGTTTCTTGCCAGAGCTGGTTGTTTATATTGAGGTTGTAGTCGTATAAGGGAGGATGGAACTGGCCTTGAAATTAGAATAAGATGTATCAATCTGTTATGTGTTTGCTTAATATCGTATTAGGATGATCGTTGAGGCTTTTTAGGAGGAAGTGACATCAGTGTGGTTGCTAAGCAGCAGCTTGTTGATGACCTGGACCCTGTTAGACCAGAATAAATCATCTAATTGTATAGAAACCCTGATTGTTTAGAGTTTCCTCTTTTCCTGATTCCAGAAGCGAGAGATTCCAGATTATCTTTGTGGGAAAATCAGTTTTGAGTTGATGAGGGAGCCCTGCATCACACCCAGCGGGATCACTTATGACCGCAAGGACATAGAAGAGCATCTACAGGTAAACAGTTTCAGGTCTGCTGGTAGTTGGTGACTTGTTTTATTTGATTGTTTTTTTTTTTATCTATGTGTATGTTGTTGACTGTTTTATTTGTTTTAGCAACATCAACCTGCCAGAGGACTGCAAGTGGAAATTAGTCTTAAAATCTGGCATATTTACTGTTCATAAGTATGCATTGTCCTCCTTTAAATAAATAATGAATGAATGAATGAATAGAACAGCTTGTTAAAATGTGTGGACTGAACTGCGAGCAGGTTTACAGCATTGGTCACCATGGTGACAGACTCAGGTGACAGGTTAATTGTAATTTCCAACAGCATCTGAAGTTTTCTTCCTCAAGCCGCTAAAGCCAGGGTCACACTGGGCCGCCACCGCGACGTGAAGTGCTGATCCTGTGGTAGGACAGGCTTCTGTCCACAAGTCTAGACATGATCAGATCAGTAGCGGTGGGTTATGTATCACAGTACAGCAGCGACCATATGATATGTTATGATACAAAACAGCCTGAAGACCAGAGGCTTCCAGTGTTATCACGAGATCTCGTGAAGTCAGACTGAAGGCGGTAAAATCTGCTGCCACCTAGCAGTTGGAGGTAGAATTGCACCACACAAAGGGAAGCACAGTGGAAGATTATGTTAAAATGCTCTATAAAAATTTGATACACCTTCTTTTAAATATCAGCAATATTTCAGTGTATAGAAATTTTCTTGCATCTCTACAAATCAGTACTGGTTGTAACAGGGAGCCTATAGCCCCATTCCCACCTGTACCGGGTCGGCCCGGGCCGGGTAGCGTAGGTTGTTTACATATCTGGGTGGCCTGGAATTTTCCCGGGCCAACCAAGGCTCATTCTCGGCCCTCTTCCCGAGGAGGTCTGCTTCAGGCCGACCAGGGCCAACACACCCACTGCTGACAGCAAATTCACACCTTCCATTAGAGCAAGCCTCTGATTGGTGGGTAGAATCAGCCCATTCACACCTTCCATTAGAGCAAGCCTCTGATTGGTGGGTAGAATCAGCCCATTCACACCTTCCATTAGAGCAAGCCTCTGATTGGTGGGTAGAATCAGCCCACATGGGCTTAAGACAAGGATGTGTGGAATCAACCGGGCCAGGCTGGGGCCGACTGGGGCTACCCGGCCCGTGCCGACCGGGTACAGATGGGAATGGCCCATATGTCTCCTCCCCGTCAACGGCGCTGCAAAAGCTATTTTCTAATCTACTTTGCCTTTAACCCCGAGTCTCACATATGTTGTACTTTAGCTTAAATTCTAAATAGTAACGAGTTTAGATTATGTCTGTCACGTATTTTGAGATTTATTACCTTGTAAAAATTGATAATTAAAGTGGCCACAAATCAGACGTCGCATATACGACATCACCACAGTATCTCCTCTCCCCCAGCGTAGCGGCTACTTACCACATGGCCAGATTTATGGTGCTTTTCTACACGTTTAATGCTTTTTTTTGTCCTGGAAGAAAGATCCAAAGCTCGCTAAACTCAGTCGTTTTCTTCATCATGTCTGGTTTGACGACATCAATTTTGTGAGACAAACATTTGTAGTCTTATACATTTTTTCGCACAAAATCTAAAATAACTTTAGCCATTTTTTAAAAATAAGCACTTTCTTGCCATCAGAATGTGTCTTTAAAATTCACAGACAGCATTTGTTAAAGCCATAGCACATATTAAACGGGATCAGAAAACAGCTTTTATTGGCTCATCATGCTTTTGACAGTAGTGGACCCAGTAGATGAGCGTGGCTTAGGCTCCCTGTAGTTATCATTGGTTTACGTGGGTTAACGGTATTACAAGTGTTGGTTATTGGCACAGTTAGAAGAAAAGCTGTTCAGTTACTTTCTCTAAAGCATCAATAATGTAGTTGTGCACAAATACATTAAATCCTTCTTGTTTGCATTTTTGCAGCGAGTTGGTCACTTTGACCCAGTCACCCGAAGTCCCCTGACCCAGGATCAGCTGATCCCCAACCTGGCCATGAAGGAAGTGATTGATGCCTTTATCCAGGAGAACGGCTGGGTGGAGGACTACTGAGGAGGCTCGCTCCTTTTCTCTTCCAGGAGCCAACACCAGACCTGGATAAGAATATAGAGAACAGATCACCCTTTGCCTGGATATGAACTTTACTCAAGCCACACAGGAAACTACCAAACGGGGAGTATAAAGCATCCCAGTTTGCATCCTCCCAACGGTTTTGTTCTTGGCTGTAAAACCTTTTGTTGCAGCTCTCGGAGGCTTGGTGTTCATGGCCTGTTGCTCCCTTTAAGACCTGATCACTCTTTCTCTCGTTCAGCTTCTCTATCGTGTTTTTTTTTTAAATTTAATTTAATTTTTTTAAGTCGTCCAGCCTGACTCCTCCTGTCTTCATAATGGGGCTTGTACTCAGGTCTCTGCCGCACTCTGCCTGCTTTATCTCTGAGTGCCACAGTTACTGGGAAACATTAGCATCACACTCTAGTGTTTCACATATACCTACAGTAGGTCTCTAAATACACACATATATACTTAAATATAAAATAAACCAACAAATTTTGCTGACAGACATTTTATTTGATATCTAATCCAGTATTTTTGTCATATTTCATAAGAAAAAGAGCATCTGCCCATCTATTCTAGTATATTTGTTGAAGTGGTCAGAAATGCCAATAGACGTTTTTAGTTTTACTTGATGCATCGAGATGCTGGTGGCGCTCAGACCCAACCGTCTTTGTCACTTTAAGGATTTGAGTAGAATAAAAAGGTTTTCCTCTCCTTTGCATATCAATCACACCTTCAAACAGACAATTCCAATAAGTCGAATGAATGAGTTCTGTATTTTTTTTAGTTTTAGAGTCAGTCCTCAGCGATTTGCCATGTTTTTCTGAAACGCCTTGAACTGGAAACAGAAAATAAATGGCTGCATATATATATAAACAACGTTCCCACATTGCTGGATATGAGTTCAGAATGTTCAGCTGTTGCTAAAACCCGCGTTGACAAATGGTTGTTTGTGTTCCTGAGATGTTCGGTGTTGCTCGTGCTGTTTGCCTTGAGTGAATGTGGACGCTCACGTCGAGCATGAAGTGGATTTTCTTCTGTACAAAAACACGAAGATGCTTTGTATTTTTCCTAAGCTTTCGCTGTTTTATTTCCTTTCTCTGAGTGTCAGACTTCCACAAACTAACCCGAGTCCAGTCGCAGAGATTAGAGGTTGAGTTGCATCACTGCCCCCAGCAGCTGCCATGCTAATGCTGGAAGAGCCGCGACCATCTTAATTCCCCTTACCTCCATCTGAGTGTTTGTGTGCCGCATCTCCAATGTCCTTCATTAAACACAACAAAGTCCAAGTGGTTTACAGGTGTTTGTCCAGCTGAATGTGTGTGTGCGTGCATGGATGCGTGTGTGTGGTGAATCAGGTTTTGTCCAGCTGAATGTGTGTGTGCGTGCATGGATGCGTGTGTGTGGTGAATCAGGTTTTGTCCAGCTGAATGTGTGTGTGCATGCATGGATGTGTGTGTGGTGAATCAGGTTCGTCGAAGGCTGCTCGTACTGGAGTGCAGGAGATGTATATAAACTTCTGGTGTTACTCAGATTTTATTTCTTGACACGATAAGGTTTTTTTTTTCTTTCTTAGAGAAATCCTAGAAATTGAGAAGCTGTATTAAATGTAGATATGTTAATAACATTAATGCCTGATTCTGTTTTCTTTTGTTCCCATTAAAACGTGAACTTGGAACGTGTGGGTTGTTGTGTTTTGACTCGAGACGACGAAAGGAGACAGAGTACGAGTCAAGCTCATTTTAAAGATGCGGATTAGCGTTGGAACTCTTGGCAGATTAAATAACGTTGTTGAACTTTTATTTGTGGAGTTTCAGTGGAAAATAGGTCAGTTTAATGTTTGGGGTCTTTATTTTTTTTCTTGTATCTTGCTTTTTATAACATGAATATGGGAAGCTGGGAAATAAAACAACCATTTAGCGAGATTTATAGAGCTGGCTTTTAGGAGTATGGGGTACCAGGCCCTCTGAAGCGAACTGTTAGGTCCCCGGATGACCGGTGTCAGAGCTTGGTCTGCAATGCCAGCAGTAAGTCGGGCTCTGCCAAGGCTGCCCTTTGTCACTGATTATTTTATGGACTTTATGGATTTCTAGGTGCAGCCAAGGTGTTGAGGGGATTTATTTTGGTGGCCTGAGGATCGGGTCTCTGCTTTTTGCAGATGAGGTGGGGAACCCTGGTCCCCAGCTGGTGCCTATCTCCAGCGGTCAATGGGCAATCAGGCGGGGTACACCCTGGACAGAGAGCCAGTCCATCACAGGGCAACACAGACACACAGGACAAACAATCATGCACACACACTCACACCTAAGGGCAATTTAGACAGACCAATTAACCTAACAGTCATGTTTTTGGACTGTGGGAGGAAGCCGGAGTACCCGGAGAGAACCCACGCATGCACAGGGAGAACATGCAAACTCCATGCAGAAAGATCCCAGGCCGGGAATCGAACCCAGGACCTTCTTGCTGCAAGGCAACAGCTCTAACTATGCCACTGCGCAGCCCAGCCAGGGAACAAACCCTTATTAATAATTTGACACAGAAGCAAAAACATAGTTTTAAAAAAACTATTTCTACAACTAATGATCACACAGATAAACTGAAGGTAAATGATTATTCAAGATGGTAAATGGGTTACCGTATTTCTGCACTGGCGCTGGATGGGTTAGGATTAATTTGATAACTTGTTAAACTTCATTAAATATTCAGCCAGATTTATTTTATAAACCCAGATATCACATTAATTAAGCTCTAATAACATAAAAGGTCATGTTGCATCAGAGTTCATTCATTGTCTCAGTTATATCACTTTGAATCACCATTCATAGCCATTTGTCCTGCATCATCATCAGTAATAAAAATATAATAATACATATATTTTTATAAACTATATTTTTGCCTCTGTGTCCAATTATTATAAAGTGTTGGTTCCTGGGCATACCCAAATTAGCTAGTTTCATCATCAATCGAATATCAAAGGTTTAATAATATTGGAAATCCATACTTTTTGGAATATTACTTTTTATTGAATATCTTTATATTCTATTGACAGTTTATTAAAAGTAACCACTTACAGAACGTTACAATGAAACATTATACTTTGTTGGAAACCTTTCATATTTTATTGACAGGTTATTATTTGTGACCACTTACAAAATGTTACAGTGTGGTCCTGTTGGCTTCATCAGAACGTGATCTCCGGCTCTCACTGGAGCGGTTTGCAGCCGAGTGTGAAGAACCATCTCCTCTAAATCCAAGACCATGATCTTGACAGGGGTAGAATACCTTTTCCGGGTCAGGGATGAGGTCCTGCCCCAAGTGGAGGAGTTTATCTCGGGGTCTTGTTCACAAGTGGGAAAAAGATGGAGCAGGAGATTGACAGGTGGACTGGTGCTGCGTCTGCGGTGATTCGGGTATTGTACTGGTGTTGAGGGTCTGACCTCATGAGGAAATTACTATGCAGTGATTTTCTCCAAAATGACTGTGCTTAAATTGCTCTGGAAAGCAAATAATCACATCAGCGCCAAGAAACTTCATTTCCCATGATGCTTTGCACACGGAAGCATTGTGATGACGCCACCGCCTAGTACCAGAAACACGTTCTGCGCATGTGCGGGAAGCCGTGGAGCTTTTCCCGCGAACTAAGACCATAAATCTTCAGCAGAGACAAAGAAACCTCGTTCTTTTGCCCAGGATACCTGGCGGTGAGGACACGCTTGTCGAACGCTCCGACTTCTTTGAGCACGCGGAAGCTCTAAGAGCCAAGTTGAGCCCACGGGACCGCTGATCTGCTCGTTTCTGCTCCCCTCCAGCTGATGTTTGAGGACACAGAACCAGCGGAGGGAAACAACAACTCCATCCAGCTCTCAGAAACGCTGTAAGTTGTCAAACTCAGCCCAAAAGGAACTTCGTTTTCTTTGTGTCCAGCCGTGGAGAAACACTCGTGGAGCCAAACAACGGAGAAAGCATCAAACCGGCGGATGACGCTGAAAACTGCGGAGAAACACGGAGAACCGTCAAATCAAAAGGGGGAGGGACGCCTCGCTCTTTTGGTGATCAGAAAACTCATTTTTCTCTCATTCTTTTCTTCTCCCGTTTCCTCTATAGTCCAGAATAAGCAATAAAACCGCGCTATTGCTTAAAAAAAGTAGCTTCGTGTTTTCCTCTTTCGTTCCAAATTCGTCCTTCGGGTCATTTTGAAAGAATAAACTGCTTATTAATCATTGTTTGGTATCTTTAAATGTTCGGCCATGGCCAGGCTGATAAACTAAGGATATTAACTCGTGATTAATCTTTTGTGTTGTTGCATGATCCTTTGAAATGTTTTGAGTGATTTAAGGTTAAGTTACTACTGATTCTAAGTGCTTTGGAAGTTAAAGTGCAAGTTGCCACCCACACTTTAGCCAGACAAAGGAGTCAGCCATCTTGTATTCAAGACTCCATTTTGAATCCATACACACGCACACACACTACTCCTTTGTGAGAACAAAGGACCCCATTCATACATCCTACATACACACAAAACACCTTGAACATTATTTTGAATATACATCCTTTTATTATATCACATGGTTATTATTCATTTATGCCACTGTTTATTCATTTGACAAATTGTTAATTAAACGTTATAAAATTCAGATTTTCGTCTCCAGTAGCTTTGTTGTGTCGAAGAGAAGTCTCTGCTCCAAGGATTCTACGAACTTCAAGAAAGACTGATGAGAGTTTTGGATTCAATTTTTCCCCGGAAAAAGGGGAATGGTGCCCCGTATATCTAAGAATATCTTAATTAATTAATAATTCAGTAAATATTGCCATATTTACAGAATTTATTGAAGAATCCAAAAGTAAGTTGAAGCTTACTAATTGTTCGCTCCTAATAACCCCAACATTTTATTGGTGCCCCGTGTGAGGCTTGGATACACAGAGATTTCTATCCGGCACAAACAAACAAATAAATCCAAAGAGCTTGAATTAAAAATAATCCGTTGTTCAGCCTTGAACCAGCAACAGAGTGGTGCTGATTTCGCTGAGCAGGAAGCTGCATCGAACTCTCACCAGTAACTCAGTGCTTCTTTAAAGGTGCAACGTGTAAATTAATTCTGGTTGACCTTTTAGGTTAAAAATTCAGTTTTTCCTTAAAGGTGCAACGTGTAATTAATTCTGGCTAACCTTTTAGGTTAAAATTCAGTTTTTCCTTAAAGGTGCAACGTGTAATTAATTCTGGCTAACCTTTTAGGTTAAAATTCAGTTCCTCATTAAAGGTGCAGTATGTAAGTGATTCTGACTAACCCTTTTAGGCTAAAATTAACTGCTAATTTAGCGACTTTAACTCACAGTGGCTATTATAACTAACTGAAACCTTCACTCAAAGACTGATAACACCCTGTTTGCTAATATTCTGAAGGAATAACTAGCATATTTAACACCCAAGTGTTGTAAGACGTTGCTACGGCAACGCACCAGCTTTTGCTAAAATACTGAAAGGAATAGTATTTTAAGCGTCAGTCACGGCATTCCGTGCAATCTTAAAACGCTAAAACCTGTGCGCACAAAGGTTAATTTAGTGTTTTTCTGCTACAAAGCTAGCAGTTGCTGCCAAAGGTGCAGCCTTGAGCTATCTGCAGAAGCTCTACTAGGCCATTTTGGTTCGGTTGTTAAAAATGGAGGGACAGAGTAGTGAACTGACCAACTCCCAGCAACCAGGTGGCGCTGCGGCCCACGACTATGAACCTGGCCTACTTTCTGGACAAATATTGTCCAAACTGGTCGCGGTTGCTCGAGAACCCGACTACCCTTCTAGGGATTTCACTGAAGAACAGCGTAGCGTCGAGCTAGAAGCTGTAATCGATCAAATAGAAAACCCGGATGGTACAAAACCAATCCAGGTTCACTTAGCTAAGTTAGCCTTGATCCTCTATCAGAGAGAACTCCAACATGATAGAGAGATCATGAACCTCCAGAGTATGCTAGCTGAAAAACAGCGAAATGGAAGGCTGATCGAGGAAGACGACACCCGCACCGATTCTGGGGAAGATGGGGAGGAGACCCCGCCCCCTTCTGCTGATGACAACAGACAGTGGGAAGGGGGGAAACACCATGACTCTCTGGACGGACGCACGCCGCAGGGGAGAGATGAAGCTCATCTGTCCCAACCTTCGGCCCCGTTCCCTACACACACTATAGGGCATTCAGGACCACCTAGGGGCCGAGGGCAGTTCGCCCTCGAACCCCAGGTTGGACCACCACCCTCATCTTCACGGCCTTCTCAATCAGTGAGAAGTCGACCAGCTGAGCGGCACCTCTATTTAGACCGCTCCCCCAGTCCACGAAGGGTGCAAGGTGCCGATTGGGGTTATGCACCCCAAGCTGCACCTCAACCATCCACCCATCCTAGCTACTCCGGTATTCGGCATGCCGATAACCAGCTGCATGACCAAGCATCATACGCCAGTCCGTACCCGGACAGAGCGTATTACGCAGAAGCCCCAGTTGAAAGACGCAGGCTGCACTACGCAGACGTGCCCCGGGAGGAGGACCTCCCAAGACACCCACGTGACGTGCCAGCAGCCCGCCACAACATGCCGAACCCCGATTTGGGCCCCAGGAGTCAACATTGGGAGCCCAGAGCACACCAGCGATATCCAGCGCCTTCTGAGACAGACCGTGGGTCAGAGTCAGAGG